CATCTGATTTTCAGCTGGCTGTTTGTTTTAGCTGCTTCTAGTGCTTTAATTGGGTTTGGGCTTTTTCGTGTGGTTTCATAGCTTTCAGGCATGGCTGATTGTGGGCTTAATTTGTTTGCATTTTGTTTTTACTGAACTGTAAACCTCCTCGTGCACATTCACTGTACAGTTGCTAAATGCCGGAAATAAATCAACCGACCAAGCCATGACCCTGCCACAATTACCACACAGCAAAATCACAGAACGATTAATAAGAGAGACGTAGTTAAGGGCCAGTGTGATGGGTCTGGGTGAAGAGTAGCAAGCCCAAAACAGCCAATCCAGCATGACAGAGTCAGATTAGCAAGGACAAGTCTCAAGACCACAAGCATCTGCTCAATTGAAATGCTCCCCCCACCCAAGCATTCTGGCCAGCAACCCATTCCAGGGCAGGGCAGAGAAAGAAGAGGCCAGGAAGGGGACTGTCTCCATTGGCAGATAACATGCTTTACTTGCAAGAGGTCCCAGGTTCTGTCTCCAGTGACAAAAAGAATATCAGAGATGCGGAGAGACTTCTGCCTGAGGCCTTAGAGAGGGGCGGGCAGCTGGAGAAAATGCATGCTTGTAGGTCCATAGAGATCACGTCTCTCCTCCCTTGTGCTCACATGATACCACCAGCACTCACCGGTGGTGGCAGAGACTACTTCGTGTCGTGGTTATGGTATCGGACTGGAATCCCAGAGACCCAGTTTCAAATCCCCACTCTGCCACAAAAGCTCACAAGGTGACCTCGGGCCTGCCACACGCTCCCATCTTCTTCTTTTTTTAATGCAACATTTTTAAAAATTTATTATTGAAGCTTATATACATAATCTTACATTAAATCATTATACAATCATTTTACCCCCCTCCCTCCTTGTAGTATCTTCATATTTTTAACCATGTGCACAGATTCTTCATTCGTATTTGGATATTTGGATTGGCTTCCCCCCTTTCCCCCATTCCTTATATCCCACCCATTTATTTGTAATCTTTTGACATTTCTCCTTCCATGTCTCTTCAGTAATTATCTGTGCGAATATATCTGATAGTACGTGTTCAAAGACATAATTATTCAATTTCTCCATTGTCCACTTATGCCTATCCCTCCATCCCAATGCTATTACAGCCATCCCAGCTAAAACCATAATTTTATATAACTCCCGTTTATTCCTTTCCACTTTTTTATTTCCCAATATTCCAGAAATAGGCAAATCCCTGTTAATCTCTACATTAACTTGAAATAAATCAAAGATAACCCTTACTATCTTTTGCCAAAATTCCTTAGCCACTTTATATTCCCACCACATATGGGTGTATAGACCTACTTCTTGGCCACAGTGCCAACACTTTGGATTCATTCCTTTAATCATATACGCTATCTGAGCCGGAGTTCCACACGCTCCCATCTTAACCTACTTCACAGGGCCGATGTGAATGTAAAATGGCGAGAGGAGACCACTGTAAGGCTCTTCCTTGGACAAAGGCTAGGAGCAAAATATACTAAATAAGTAAGTACTGAACCAGCCCATTGCCTTTAAAGACGTAAACTTGGAAGAGGAACACGGCACTTGCCCCTTCTCCAGGCAGTCAGTACCCACTCCCATGGGGTCCCTGGGTAACCGCAGGCAACCGACCCTCTCTCAGTCTCAGTTCTCCGTCTGCACTATTTATACCACGCCCTTTTCCCCAACAAGGACCCAAAGCAGCTTACAACTTTATTCTCCTCTCTTCCGAGTAATTCTCACAACAACAGCCCTGTGAAGTAGGCTGAGCTGAGAGAGAGTGACTGGCTCAAGGTCACCCATACAGCTTCCATGACATAGTGGGGATCTAATGCTGGTTATAACACAGTCTCCACAATACCTTTGATTAGAACTAACCAAATGACATATAACACCGTGTGAGCTTTTGAGTTCACTAGCACCCTTCATCAGGCTGGATGTTACACATTTTTTAAAAAAATGCTTAAAAAATGCGAAGTTCCTCAAGATGTAATAGAGATTCCTGGTCATGCTGCTCTGAATGACGCTGGCTTCTAGTTACACTCAGCTCTTTTGGGCAAGAGTCAATAAAACAATTAAACTCCACAGACAATAACAAATCCCAACAGTTTTCTCTAGTTACTCTCTAAATCTGACATGTCAAACATAAGGCCTGGTGGTCAGATCTGGCTTATCCAGGACTCTTATCTGGCCCAGAAGCAACACTGATTGTCAGGCAATAGCTCTCTGTGCTGTGCAAAGTTTCTTATGCATACCAAGCAAAGGGTAGGGTGATTAGGTATGAGGAGAGTTGTGGGTCATGGTCACTGGTAAAATATCTCTGGTACCTGGCGTTACACTTTACGGCACACATGGTCTGGCCCCCCAAAGTGACACTTATGTCAGATCTGGCCCTCATAGCAAATGAGTCTGACACCTCTGCATCTAAACTCTAACCACAACAGCACACTGGCCATCATTATAATCATATAATCAGACCAATTTATTATATAGGTGATTGTAGAATTACTGTATGATGATGCATATAAAGTGCTTCTAAGCACCATAAAATTTACGAAAATTAAGTATTATCATCATTACTGCATTGTGGTTGTAGAGGAATATGAAAAAACCACATATCTTCATCTGCCTCGTTAACAATCAACTAGCTGGGATTGATTTTACTCAGGCCAATAGATTAACAGTACAAAACCACATATCTTCATCTGCCTCGTTAACAATCAACTAGCTGGGATTGATTTTACTCAGGCCAAGAGATTAACAGTACAAAAAGAAACAGAGTTACACCCTTCTAAACCCACTGAGTTTAGCAGAATGTAACTCTGTTAAGGACTGCCTTGCAATCCCAAGAACACTTTCTGGGGAATAAGCCTCACTGAAGACAATGAGACTTACTTCCAAGTAGAACCCACTGAGGAGCACCGTTAGAGAAAAGGCTGTGAGCTTTTCTGTAGAAAAGGGATCTACCCAAAGGCTTTGCTTTAATGAATTCAGGTGCCATAATACTTCTGTTTTGTTTTTGTGACAGTAAACTGACAACTGGAATTTGTAGCAGAGGAAACTGAAACCCACATCCTTCCTTCAAGAGGGCAAAATAGTGTCTCTGAAAGCTAACATGCAAACTTCTGCATTGTGGCTTCCAGAAATGTACACCTGGCTCTCAAAGCTAGATCGCCTTGCAAAAGTCACCCAAAGTAGGTATTGCCTAGCAGCTAATACTGATCATCTGAGAAATTCCCTAAACTCCCTGAATTCACAACACAGTTGACCTCAAACCCTCCCTATCTGCTTTCTGAAAAAACCACTTGCCTACCATACAGGGTTGTTGTAAGGCAAAGGTTCTCAGGCTTTTCAAAGTGAGATCGGTGTCAAAATTAATTGTACCTGTGGAGACCCACATGCAAAAGAACTCTATGTTACTTCCTCTCTCCTCAACATAAAATGTTGTTAACACTGAACAAGTTTGTATTTTATGTTTTCATTTCTACTATTTATAAAAATTTAGCATTTCTGAGCAACAGGCTGTATTTTATGGTCACTGTACACATGATGTGGAGGCAAACCTACATTTGCCATCCACCCTCCCACCTAGTGTGGGAACTGAGCCACAGTCTGAGAACTGCTGTTATAAGAATTACTGAGACCATGTAAAAACAAAAGGAATCATGTGGCACCTTAAAGAAGTTTTTGTGGATTACAGCCCACTTCATCTGATCCATGGAGAGAACTCTAGCAGGCAAAAGGTTCAGCCCACCAACAAATCTGTTGTTCAGATGCCACAGGATTCCCGGTTTGCCTTTGCTGCAACTGTTAACTCAGCTCTGGAATTTGAGACCATGGAGCTGAAAACTTTCAAAAGCCACTCTGAAGTATTCTGGGAAGAAGCCATGGAGGTCCCTGGTTAAATCCTTGGCCTCTCCGGTTAAGAGAGTCTCAGTAGGAGAGGGATCTCAGTAGGCAGCCAGGAAGAATGGCTGCCAGTCAAAATAAACCATCTAGAAGTCTAGTTCTGAGCCAGATCACGGTTCTGCTGGGGCCAGAGAGGCATGGTGAGCCCAGATGCAGCAACACCGATGGCGGCGAGTTGTAGGAGGGCACCCTGAGGGTTGCCAACAAACCCCTGGAGCCAGTAAAAGCCCACTTCAATAGACTTAGGCAGAGTCGCACGTTTACCCAAAAAGGGTTCAGTGCTGTAGCCTGATCCCCTTGTCCCCTGCCTCCCCCCAATTAGGACTCATCTGCCTGGCAGGGTTCAGTGCTGTAGCCTGATCCCCTTGCCCCCTGCCTCCCCAGCTGACCCCCAATTAGGACTCATCTGCCTTGGAAAGGGAGGGCTGACAGGAAGCGACACACACACCCCCAGCGTTGCCACCACACTGGCATGGCATGGGGCAGCAGCAAAGCTAACCTTTCCCCAGCAGAACAGAAAGAAAGACATCGTGCTTCCCGCAGGGAGGAGGGCAAGGGCATAGAAGAGGTCAGGAACACCGAAGGGCACCCCGAGCCCGAAAGAGTGGGCCAGGAGGGACTCGGTCAATCCACACACACACCCACGTCCCAAACTCGACCCTGGAACTGGAAAGTGTCCGATTCGGATCCATTCGGCCAACACCACGTG